CCCAGAGCGAGAACATCTCGTCTGCCTGTGTCAAACAAACGTGTCCGTTTGCTGCTCTTCTCGTGCAGTGGAGATCTGCACACTGTCATTTTGATCATAACAGAGGAACAGAGCTATACACAAACACGATTTACAGCGGAGAACACGAGTCCACGGTCGACTCCTCTCGCTCATCCGCTGTTCCTTAAGAAAACCAGAATCCCTGTTTGTTTATGAACTTTTACATCTTCTGAATTTTATTACTGACCCCCTGCGTGACCCCTGCAGTTCCTCTAAACATAAGTGGGTGTGAGTGCTCTCATTTAGGTCCTCTTGCTGTTATCTCCGCGGCGATGAAGAATGTTAGGGGTTGTTATTTATACCGCTCGTGTCTGATAGCGAGGTGGCGGTGGCAGACGTGTTTATCTCTCGATTACGAAGGGGGCAGGGTGGTCCCCCGCTGGGACTCTACAGGGTAAAAGAAACGCCCAAATCACCCCCTCTGCTAATTAGAGTGTTTATCTGATATCTCGATTAACCGAGATAGACATTTGCAGACTGATCTGAGGAGAGATTCAACTTAAACACGAACCAAACAACTAGTTTTGTGGCTACATAAGGGCCTTCACTGCCCGGCCAAAAAAGAGTCGCTGTTTGGATTTAAATAGGGAAATGCTTAAGAGTCTATGATTGGATCATTATTGCAGTGATTATTATGTTTCTAGCATGTTATATGTTTGGCAACAGTTCTTCTAACCCTAATTAATGGAGTGTGTAGCTTTACATTTCATAAACAGACATGTAGGAAGACACATCATGATCATATTCCAGGATGACAATGTCAAGATTCATCAGACTCACACTGTGAAAGAATGGTTGTGAGGAGCTTGAAGAATCATTTTCACACATGAATCGTCTCCTCTGAGTCCAGATCTTAAATTCACTGAAAGTCTTTGGGATGTGCTGGAGGAGACTCTACTGGACTAGTGCTGGACTCTTGCATTGTCAATACAAGATCTTGAGCGAAAATGTATGCACCTCTTGATACTAGAAATAACATCACAAAGTTTATTGATATCATATATCATGGCTGGGCAGTGTATTTAAATATTTTAATATTTACAGACAAAATGCTATTTTAGAAGAAGTTGTTCAAGTTGTTTTATATCTATTTTAGTGCAAAGCAGCACAGACATTACAATAAATGAAGGGAAAATTAATAAAATATACAAATGACAAAAATATAATTTGATTTATCTAATTTTATAGCATTCTTTAGCCTGTTAAAATAGCTATGTTTCCATCCACCTATTTTTAATGCGCGTTTTGGGATATCGTATTAAAAAAACACACTGAATGGAAACGCCAAGGTGCGCAAAAAACTCCCTGAAATCCTAAAACATGAGTGTGCATTTATGAGTCACATGTTAATCAGTGGCTCAAAGCCCTTTTAGCAATGCTCATGAATAGTTAGAACTTGCTAAACTTAACTATGGAAAAATAAAGCAATAAATAAATACTTTTACAACCAAACCTGTCTGGACTGTGCAATTTCTTAAATGCAGTTCATTACAGAAATAGTACATGTAAATATTCTGTAGATGGAGGAGGGATTAATAGGACACTAGAGCTATAATACTACAACAATTTTCAATACAGTAAAATCATATCAGAATATCAGTGATTAAAGTTGTAAACTGCTGATATTGTGGCATCTTTTCCTCTTTAAATATGAACTAGGAAGTTCAGAGATTGCTTTAGTTAAGCAGTAAGCAGGTAAATGATTGTTAACGCCTCCGGTTTCTGGTCTCAGAGTAATTGTGTTCCAGTACAAAGTCAGGAAACCAGTCATTCCTGCACACACAGTCTGCATTAACACACACACACACACACACACACACACACACACACACACACACACACTGCAACGGCTTAGGCGGAAACTGACTTCAGCTCTGCTTGTGTACATAAAAGACTAATTGAATCACAGACTAAAACACACACTCCTCTGACCAATGAATCACAGCATCTGTAGATCAGGTATTACACACCAGAATGCGAAAACACCTCTATCATTCAGAGACACACATCATATGATGCTCAAAAAGAACCAGCTGACCGTAAACTAGTCAAGAATGGTAAAATAACAATGAATATATTTAATAATAATATAATAAATTTAATATAATTCATTAAAAATATATACTTTAAAATACATATTAAATTATAATAATAGTAATATTGTCAGATTAATATTATTATAAATTATCAAGCACCATTACATAATTATTGATGTAATATTTATTTAATTTAACACATAATCTCTTATTCTTCAAATTATTAAAACGGTATGTTAATGATTATGATATTTATAGAAGTACATAAATAAAGTTAATACTGTAGTGTTTAAATAAAGAAAATATAATATTCACAGACAAAATGCTACAGTGTATTATCAGTTTTACATCTATTTGATTTTGTGCAAAAAGCACTGAAATTACAGTAAACGAAGGAGCTTTAATTAAATATAAAAGTGAAAAAAGCTTTGTAAAAAACAACGTGTAACCAGATGAATTTGTCCTTCTGTTTTTGTTTGTCTGCTTTAACACATGTGTCTGGTAAATGCTTTAACGGGATGATAAATGTTTCACACTCGAGCGCATTTACCATAAAAAATGCGCGGGAAATCAAGAGTGTCACGAGACCGAGCCAAGCACGTCACGGGACAGCCGTGAGATCTCGCAGGCCTCAGAGGATATTTACATAAAAGGCAATGTGGAATATTTAATCAGAAACTAAATTTATGTAACCTGTATCAATGTCACATGTAGACAGAACAAATTCAGTTCATTTTGGTAACATGGGCCAGAGCAATAGATCAGCCAGTTAAAATGCATGTGAAGTTGATTCTGTCTCACTTTATATTCAAAGAAACTGGGGCACACACACACAGTATAAGCATTCAAATTAAAACCTACAAAAACTCTCATGACCCTACAGTAAAAGACATAACAATTAGAAACACACTCAATTATGGAGTACAGAAAGTAGTAAAGAAAGAGGAAGGCTTACATTCATCGTCGATGCTGTCCCGACCCAGTGATGAGGGGGGCCCGCCAGGTCCTCTGAGGTATTGTCTCCCATTGGGGCCGAGGGAGAGGGGGTCCACCCTTAAAATGCTGTTATGGGCCCGATGGATTTTAGCAATGGCCCTGGTTAGATGTAAAGAGTTAAAGCAACACTAAGTAAGATTTTTTACCTTAAAATAATGTTTCCAAAATCGTTTCAGTGGTTCATTAAGTCGTAACAGGGTGAAAGGCACTTCTGGATTCGCTTTGCGGTCCTATATCTGCTATAACCACGCTATGTAAGATTGCCAGATCGGGTCGCGTTTCTGTAGTTCTAATGAGACATGAGAAAACTACAAATTTGACTTGCTTTACGTCAAGCGTTACAATTGCCATTATTTTGTTTTTCTTCGTTTCTGATGTCGCAATACATCATACTTTCATGAAATCATGCAACATACTCTGTGGACATCGTTCATTACAAAGCCGGTGCTGGATAAACAGCGTGTGACAGTAGGCTGCGCTAGGCTAAATTATTTACGACAGCGGTAATGGACAATTCCGCTTCCAACCTGTAGGGCGACCGCAGAGGAAAAGTTACTTGGTGTTGCTTTAAATGATCTGCAGGTTTGGATATGTTATATTAATGTAAAGATATACTATAACATCAGAGAAATAGGCAGGGTTAGATGATCCACAGCAGGATTAGGTGATATGATTTTAGTTATAGAGTGAAGTGAGCATAACAATTGATATAAAGGCAGGGTCAAACACATGGACTGGTTGATAGAAGCCGTGTTTAACAGCGTTATTATTGTCAACTAAAACTATAAAGAAACATTTTTGTTACTAAATAAACATTAAATATTTAAAAAAATAAATAAACTTATTTTATTTTAGCTAGTTGTCAAGGTAACATTTCTCATTTTCATTGAATTTACCTTGAAGTACAGTATAACTAAATTTAAATAAACTAAATCTAATAAATAAAAACTATATAGACATATTTAAAAATATATAAATAAAATAAAAATGACAAAACTTAAACTTTAACTAAATTTAAAGTGAAAAGGAAAATATAAATTTTAAAATATAAAATATAATTCAAAATATTAATAGTAAAATAATAATAATAAATAATAGCATAGTCAATGATACTAAAATAGCACTAGGTAGAAGTGAATTATTATCCATAAATATATATATTTTTAAATTACTCCATTTCAGTCAAGTCATATTTATCTTAAATATTGATATATTATATTGATAAATTATATATATATATATATATATATATATATATTCATGAAATTATTGAAATAAATTTTTTATTATTTGAAGAATAAGAGATATATTAATATATTAAATTATATAAAGATGACAACATATAGGCTCACTTGAATTCATTTTAGATCATTATGATGTTTTGCAAGCTGGTCTGAAACCAGTTTCCTTTGGAGGCGCTGTCATGCAAAAATATATTTAAAAAACATACTTTTCCATTGACGGCTATTTAAAAGTAGCCGCATTCTGATTTTTCCGGCACTTGGTTAGTTATTGGAACCTTAAAAGCATGAAATTGACCACTTATCTAGTCACAAGTGAAGGGTTGTGTTTTTCTGGTAGGCTACCATCAGCCAAAAAAAAATAAAAAATACTTCTCTCATTTTCCTGCGGCTCCAGAGTGTGTAGTCACATGACATATACGCCTCAAGTGATTGGCTCAAAACAGTCTGGCTGCAGAACTCAACGCTAATGAGCAAAGATGGCAGAACTTGGGGTCATTGAGATAAATGGTTCTCTAGTTATTATAGACCTCCTTGGTTTCGGAAACAGCCATCGTGTAGGCAGGGTTAGAGATACAGAGGCAGGCATGGATGTAAAGGAGGGGTTAGATATGTTGATGATGGTGGTGGTGGTAAAGTGGGCCGGGCCTCGCGCAGCTGAGTCCCATCTGAAGCACGGGTGCGCGCATTTAACATGATTGATCCGCTAATAGGACAGAGGAGCAGACGCACAACTTCAGCTTTAAATCTACCAACGGTTCCTCTTTTCTCCTTTCTTTCCACTTCAACTCAAACGAGCTTGATGTGAGCGAGGGGGGAAAAAACTCCAAAAATCACCTCCTTTCCCTTCTGTCACCCTCACAGAGCACCTCTCACCTTTACTTTCGGATTGTGGCTTTAACTCACGGCTTCACTGGGCACAAACGACACGAGATTCTCTTCTGCAACTTTAACGCACACCAGGGACAAAATCACCGACAGGGAAAACTGATTTTTTATTTTTTCTGGCACAAAGAAGCGTTAAAGTTACACAATGAGTCTGAAGTCAGATTCAGAGACGAACACCAGTGTTTCATTAGAAGAGGAGGTAAGAGAAATAAACTCTTTTAGTAAACATAAACTTCATTTGGTGAAGTTCAAGCTTCTGCCGGCGGATGACTGTGGAAACACTTTTGGCGTCTGACATGTTTTTAAAACTCGCTTTAAAGGCGTTTCAGAGGCATGTTTGTTGCGGTTTGAGGAAAAACGTTTGCTGAGGAAAAGCTTGAGAGGGAGTTTGAGAGGAATGCGGAGTCTGTCGATGATTAATCTTAAAGTTGGCATTGAAATATGAGACTCACCTGATGAGAGACACACTCTTGTGTGACTGTGGATAAAGTTTAATGGCAGATTTAGCAAGGAAACACTCCAGTGGGTGTTCTTGAAGTTTTTCTGTCCTTTTTTTTTTCTCCCAGCATTCTCAAACACGCGCAAACAGTGACGTATATTGAACGTGGGTCTAAAAGACACAATGTATCTTTTTAGAATTATTTTCACTTTTAATGCTTATAATGTGATTTAGTCTAATTAAATTATGCTGTTGCAGTGTAGTCAGTTATTGTTCAACTTTCTTTTGACAAACGGATTAATTTGCATAAAGTGAAAATCTGAGACCCAAACGAGACTATCTTTGAAGTCTTGAGATAGAAATTACAAATATAGTATGGTATAAAATAATAAACTGTAACTTCTGTTCTTTTTCTGTTTGTTTCCAATCTGTCATCTCTGACTTCCGATGGAGGCATTATTTTTATTTACTTGAGACACAACAAGACTTCCATTTTTTTTAATAATAATAATTTAATATGCTTTTTTTTTTTTTTTTGCAGCTTGTCTTTAATTAGGCCTTTACATTAAATTATATTTAAGTAATGTACCACTTGCCGTAAATTGAGTGAAATGAACAACTCCGTCTGAATGGAAGCCCATATTCTCTATAGAATCTTACTTTTTTTAGTGCCATTCTAAACTAGTTTCTTCTCTGAGTGTTTGGGTCCGGTCTAGATGTCACCTCTGACCTCTTGTAAAGGCATTTCCTGTAGTTCAGTGTATTTCACTTACACAAGACCTTACAATGCTGTTTGCAAACACTCCCTGTCAGAAAATATCAGACTTGAGCTGTTTTTTTTTTTTAATGTTCTAGTGAGGATGGTTGTGTAAATGTCCCTGTAGTTAAAGCTGGACTCTCGTTCAGGGTTTGGGGTGGGAGTTGCGTCCTGTCATTGTTACTGGGCAGCACTTGGGTCAGTGTGTTTGGTGTGGCGCGTTCAGATTGTTCATTGTGTTCAAGTCTGAACCTGCAATATTTAGGACAGGGGTTTCCTCCCTCTGTGCTTCGACCCAGTCGCTCACGTCCCCCATATATGCCCTTTGATTTCTGTCCCGTTTTTCTGACCGCCAACAAAATCAACTGTTTATTTTGCTTAAGTGGCACATTGTCCCTTATTTGTGGAGTGTGTTTATTCCTTTTTGATTAAATTCCTGTTGTTTATTTCTCCTCTCAGCTGTTGGCAGTGTTTGAGCACTGATGCTCGTGTTTCAGGAACATTGAGGATGAAGTTTATGCTGAGGGTTTTTGAACTGAACTCTGAGACCGTTCTCGCCTGCAGCCGTTCCACCACTCGCTCCTCTGAGCCGGTCAGGAAATGATGGCTTTCCAGTGGATGATGTATTGGTGGAAAAGTGTAGAGGAATCTGACCGATGGACATGTGTCCAGTTATACACTCTGATGCTTTGCTGTTTTAGCACTTTAATGATCTGACACTGTTTTTAGGTTTTATTGGTGGTACCATATATATTCTTGTACCATTGCAGTTATATGATACTTCAAAGAATACCATGTTATCATCATGCATGTCCATAACATCATGGTATTATCATGATGCTTGTCCAAAAAAAAAAAAACTACTTTTGTTCTTTTTTGTAGTTAGTGGAGGATAAAAAGGTGACTTTCTTCCTAAACATGTCTGGGTCATTATAAATATAATGAATTATTTAAACATTTAACTTAATATTAATATTTTGATTAATGGCCATTAAAAAGACTACCTTTTTTTGCATTTTCATTATTTTAAATTTTATTTTGCTTTTTTTTTCTGCACTGAGAGTAATCGAAATGACAGAACTTTTATTATTATTATATTAATGCTTTCAACATTAAAGGACAAATTACTGACGATTTACACTGAGAATAATAAGACTTGCAAAACACAGGGGTGTTTATTATTATTATTATTAATAATTGTATTGTTGCTTTTATATTATATATTATAATATATTATATTGAATCGAATCCGTTTTGAAAATGATAGGAATTACAAAATGCAGAATAAAAAGTCAATTGTAAACTGACACCTTTGTGGGGAAGTTGTGTTTGTCACAATAAAGAAAAAAAAAATCTTCATTTTCTTTTGGTCCTGGACATGTTTTTGTGAGACTGAGCCAAAAACCAGTGTCTTTCAGATTGAGTCTGTTCACCTCTGAAGCGTTTGGAGAATGCGATGGGTCAGCCTGAACCAAAGTTCTCCCTCTTTTCCGTAAAAGGTCATAGCACACTGTGTCCTTCATCCAATCTTTCTCTTCTGCCCTCTAGATCTGTATAGAGTTGCTACATCTGTTTTTAAATGCTCGTTGCTTTTTAGGTAACTCTAGAATCTGTGATACTTAGTTTTAATTTGTTGGATAAAATGTGTTCTGGGAATTGAGGTCGAGTTTCTTTTAGCTATGTTCATTCTTCAATTAACTTTTTTTTTTTTTTCTTTATTTGATTGCCCTTTGCTCTCTCTCTTTGTTCACTGTAATATCATTTGATCCATCCTGTTAATTTGCCGAGTTAAATTAGATTTTCTACCTTCCACTCACATTGGAGCAATAATGCTGTCCGTGGCCTGCAGAAGTCTCTGCATCCATGCTATAGGGTCACACACACTTGATCACCACGCACACACTTCTGCTCACTAAACTAACACAATCTCATGATTTTGATCTGAACATATTTAGTCTCTAATAGCAAACTCTGCAGACAAACGGGGAGACTCTGACACAATAGGAAGGGAGAGAGACGTTCAAAGGTAGTTCTAAACAATTCCTATTTTTATTCCTTTTCAGGTGCACATTTCTAAGACCATACATTGTCCAGCACTCATAGCTCAGAGGTCATGGCATTCTGTGTATCTGTCAGTCATTTGTGTGCTGATGTCATTTAGGCATTTCCCTGTTCTAGGTACGAACACTCTTTGTCAGCGGGCTTCCTGTCGACATCAAACCACGTGAGCTTTACCTGCTGTTCAGACCCTTCAAGGTAAGACACGCCAGCCTGAGGGGGAAGCTGGAAGTTTTGTTAGTCCTCTTTATTTGACTGACAACGTAAGTTTTCTCAAATTAAAATCCGATTAATTCTGAATTTGTCCTTTTTATCAAACAGGGATATGAAGGATCTCTCATAAAATTGACCTCAAAACAGGTAAAGTTGAAACTATTATTTCCCCTCCAATGATGTGTAAATTTAATACGCATAAATGTAAACCAAAAAAAACATACATTTAAATTGATATTTACATAAATTAATGTGTATTAATAAATATAATTTAGGGTAGATTTCACATCAGCAAAAAAGTGTAAAAACAACATGCTTTCTCAAAACTATTGGTTTCACTTTATGTACTTTTACTAGTTGCAGAGTTCAATCATTAAACACTTTTTTGATATTAACAAAATTGTGAATTTTTTTAATTTTAGGTGAATTTTTTTTTTTTTTTTTTGCAAGATTGTCATGAAACTCCTGTCCATGTGGATGTAAACTATACTTTGAAATATCAAAAGCTGCAGTCTAGATATTTTATGTACAAAAAAATGACTGGTTGACAACCCGATCGAGAAAATAACATTTGGTCACATTAACCACATTTTATTTATTTGACAATCATAAATATTGCAAACCATAATGTACCCAAGTTGACCGGCAACTTAAATACTACTTGACAATGTCATTGGAGATGAAATGTAAAACAAATTAGGAGGATATTTACCATAATGTTCAAAATATCTGCCGCACAAGAAAATGACATTACATGATGCTGGTCACGTGGTTTTGGGTTTAACCAAACACCCCCTAAAAACTAAAAGAAAAAGTTAACAGAATTTTTGTGGACATTAATAAAGTGAAATATTTTCTTATTTGAAAATTGAATTTAAACAATCTATTTCTAAGGTATTTAGATAGTAGAAATCTAATCTTGAGACTACTTTAAAAAGTGGGCATTGAAAAAAACTAAAGGGACATAAAGGCAATTTCAAGCAAACTGGAAAAACAGGGTATGTAAAATATTGGTGTGAGAATAAAGTATGTGGTGTTAATGGATAAAATATTTCTGAAGAAAATTTAGGATAAAAATATAATCATCAATGGAAATTAAATGTACCCCAAATGTATATATTATTTTTTTAATGATGTAATTTAGGAGAGAAAGCTTAATTCTCATAAAATCTTGGTCCTAAAATTGGGTTTAAGTTTTTAATTGTATTTTAATAAATTAAAATTATTAGATTTTAATATTTCAATTTTAATACAAATCATATTTTTAAACTCTTTTCCCTTTGATTTTTGGGCTGAAATGCAGTATGACTGTACATTAAGGATCTATTTTCTACTTGTGTTGTTTGGAAAATAAAATTGTCTCTATCTGATGCGTTTCTTTTCATTGTCTAGCCTGTGGGGTTTGTCACGTTTGACAGCCGGTCTGGGGCTGAAGCGGCCAAGAATGCCTTGAACGTAAGTAATCGCTGGTCCGTCAGTAAGCTGAAGCGATGGCAACTTTTAATTATTTATAAGACACTGTGCTTTATGTCCTCCAAACTTCGCTTTTAAAAGTCTGACTCAGATGCTGCTCTTCTCTACGGGGGGGAAGTTTCTCTTGCGTACACATGTTGGTCCCTAAGAAAAGTTCCATGACGTCATGTGTTTCTGGCTGGATGTGGATTGCTCTGGGAATCGGTGCACTTGTGCTGCAGAGGGAAACCTGATGTTCTGTTATAACACTGTCCTGTAGAGTTTAGCTCTGACTTACCTCAACTCACATGCCTTACATTTTCTTGTATGCCTAGTAAGACCTTGATTTAGCTGGTTCAGGTGTGTTTAATTGGGGTTGGAGCTGAACTATGCAGGACAGTGGCCCTCCAGGAGCCGGATTGGACACCCCTGTTTTGTGCAATTGTGCAAAAACTGATTGAATAATTGGACCGTATTCGGTCAACACTTCTAATCTGTTCTCAGGGCATCCGCTTTGACCCAGAGAGTCCTCAGACGCTTCGTCTGGAGTTTGCAAAAGCCAACACAAAGATGGCGAAGAGTAAACTGATGGCCACGCCAAACCCGTCCAACCTGCACCCGGCTCTTGGTGCACATTTCATCGCTCGAGACCCATGTGAGTAAACTCCAGAACATGGCGTTGATTCGCCATCAATCTCTGATTCAGATGAATTGGAAATGTTTTGTAACGCGTGTCTTGACTGTCACTTTTGATCAATTTAATGTGTCCTTGTTGAAAAGCATTACCATTCAAAAACCTTTGAATAGTAGTGTATATTTTGGGTGCTGCAACGGGTCTCTTGAAGTGCTTCCGCTCCCTGGCGTCTGGTTCTGTATGTGACACTCAGATGTGTGTGATTCTGTAGATGACCTGACGGGGGCAGCACTGATCCCTGCGTCTCCTGAGGCGTGGGCTCCGTATCCTCTCTACACCACTGAACTGACCCCAGGCCTGCCTCACGCCGCCTTCACCTACCCCGCCGCTGCTGCTGCCGCTGCCGCCCTGCACGCCCAGGTGAGGGACCAGCCGGTGTGTTCCCCTTTCCTATGACTATCACTCTGTCTCTCTGCTTTCGGGGGCTTTTATGTCCAGTGTGACATTGCCAACACTTCTTGAAAATTACTTCCATTAGTTTGTAGCAAATCCTTGTGCTTTTGTACTTTGAAAATACAAACGGGGATTCAGTTCCAAAGTGACAATGTGGTTTTTTTTGGGGGGTATTTCTAAATATGGAGTTAGTGACTACATGAAGTTCTCACAATTTAAGTTTTAAGGGTGTAAAAATGTATGTTCAGAGCAGAAACTAAAGCTCCGACATGTTCATATGTAAATTGCACGAGTTTATTTCGTCCATTAGATAAAAAAACAAAAACAAACATACATTTACCGCCTAAAGACCCTCCTCTCGAAGAAATCCGGACAGAAGTGGATGAAAGTGGACAAAAAAGACGGATTAAAACAAGGTGTAAACTGGAATCTGTCTCCCTCGTCTACCTGTGATCAGATTGACCGAAAAACATCTTAATACCAGCTGTAAACGGGGCCTTAAACTTATCTATTTTGGTTTTAGCATTTTTACTTTAAATCATTTGTTTGCAATCCTCATCTAAAGGATTCTGGGTAAAGCCCAAGATTTAAGGGTGTACCAATTCATGTCTTGTGTACTACTGTACTTTTACTTAGACATTATTGTGAATCTTTTAAATCTTTTTTTTTTTTTTTATTGTAAATGTCCTCTGTTCAATTGAGTCAGAAAAAAATCGTCCATGCATTGCATTGTGGGAGCCGCTATTCCACACCGTTAGCTTTGCACATTGTTAAATGCATTTCATCCAGCAATGTGTACTGTATACTGCAGCAATAGTAAGAGTAGCATGCGCTTCAAAACGTTATCAAATGTTCAGTCTAACCGAACCAAGCTTACCTTTCCCATAATGCCCCTGACTCGCGCTCTGATGGAAACTGACCCTGGGTCACATGACGCAGCAAAACCAGAGGTGGTGTCAGGGGTCCACTCTGAACATGACAAGTCTGATTACCCAGAATCCCTCAGAACAGCATTCCTTGGCCTGCTAGTGTTGCTAAGAGATGACATCAGAGAAAAGCTGTTTTTAATTGCGTCTCAGGTTGGATTATGACTTGGTCGCTGAGTGAATCTGTGCCCAGAGAGGTGCCGCTTAAAGTTTAGCCAAAAAACAATGTGCAACCAATTTTATGATCCATTAAAAGCAGCACATGTGAATGTCTCCCACAAACACTTTGCCTTTAACTGCTCTTGTAGTTCATAAACTTTTTCATATTCACTTTTACCAGTTTAAAACGTATGAGGCTCCGCAGGCATTGTCACGGTTTATTGTCAATCTTGCATTGTTTGCATGCATGTTGTTTAATGTGACTGTTTATGAAGACTGTGCTTACTGCTTGACAGATCAAGTTTATTGATCGGATAGGCTAGACTTTGTGGTTGTCATGGCAACAATCCAGTGAAAGCTAAAGGTCATGGATGAAGAGGCTTTACTTGAAGTCTCTTGAGCCATACTGTATGTTAACAGGTTCCTTAAAGCGTAAATTGAGCTTGTTTGTTTGTAAGTTTAATTGTCTGATTTTTAGTTTTTAAGATTCGATCCCCCAACCAAATGTTTTACAGTGGTGTTTGGCTAAGGCTGTGGGCGCAGTTGGTTTTGTCAGGATCTCAAAGGGGTTGTAAAAGGTTTCATCCTCTGGGTGAGAAAAAGAGCGAATGTGCTAATGGATCCACACGCTAACACTTTCTCTGCCCGATGTCACTCTGAGGGCCTTCAGAGAGTTTGAGTCTTCCGTTGGTGGTTAGCTATTCAGTTTGTTGGTTATTTAGTTAAACTAAAAATAACAAAATAAAAATGTTGGTTATTTATTTCTTGTCATATATACATTTTTTTTTGGTCCATTTTATTTGTCTTTTTTTTTAGCTACTTTTGGTTTAAGCTAACCTAAGCTTTTTTTTGTCATTTTTATGTCTTATTATTTTACTTTATTTGGTTTTATTTTCAGTTTTTTCCAAAATTACCATATATTGGTGGGTTTATCTTATTTTGGCCATTTTTATTTGGGACTTTTTTTTTTAAATCATTTTGATATGCTATATGGGTAGGCGGGGTGACTTTTAAAATGTATTTAATAAATAACTCAAAATAATAAAATAAAATTTTATATGGTGCCCTTTTTAAATTTTAGATATAAAATTGTGCAAAAAGTGACATTAGCATAGCTTTTTTTTGTTCGTTAATGGCGGTTCATTTACATTAGTTTCAAATAATGTATTTTATATGGTGCATACATTTTAAATTTTAAATTTATTTGACATAAATATCAATATAAATTGGTGTGCAAAAGTTCCATTATAAATGGAAAGGCACTCGTCTCGTAGAATGACTTGATAATTTCCTGCTTCTCCCAGCATTATTCAGCTCAAGGAAAATAGAAATGGAATTCCTTTGGCATGTTTGCGTGTAGCCGGGATGACGCAACTAAGTCTGCAGTTAAACTGCTGGAAGAAAAGAGCACTTGGCTTTCTCTTCCTCCAGACCTTTCCAACACACACCTGCCGGAGTGAGATTACAGCTGTAATGCCTGCGCTCTGGTCAAACCTCCTGACGCCTCGTAAAGAGTGCGGGAAGTCCAGAATAAGTCACCGAAGGGCTGAAACGGACGTGCCAGGCTGATTGTGGTCGTTCTCTTGCCCTTGGCTGGGGAAGTGGGTGTTTTTGGCGTGGTTTGGGAAGGCAGGACGGGAAAGGAGTTAATGTCATCTTGCTGAAAGATGTTTATAGATGCACTGATAAGAGTTTCCTGCGCAGTTCATTAGCACCGCTAAAATAGTTTGACTATGAAGGTTGTTATAGAAATTGCTCTCTTTTTTTGGGGTTTTTGCCCTCTACATTGTTTAATGTAATTAATAAGAAGAAGAAAATGGCTCTTGGCAGCAACTTTGGTTCATCAAGAAGGTTTTTATATGGTTCTTTTGGAGATTTTAAAGTGTTGTGGTTGATAAAGCTGCCTATTGGAAACTTCCCACTTCTGAAGTGATTTACAGGAGTCACACTCAATTGCTTTGTTGTAAAGAACAGGAATCATGGAGTGTGTGTACATATATATATATATATATATATATATATATATATATATATATATATATATATATATATATATAATTTTTTTTTTTTTTTAAGAATCTAATGAAAGCCAGAATTTTAAGATTTAATATTGAATAAAATGTAGTGTCCCATTCATTGACAATATTCTGAGACGTGAGCATTTGTCGTCTGTCTATTGGAAACTTATAGACTTGACCATCTCAACAGAAAGCACTAAAGTCAATTAGCTACATTTGATTAAAGATTAATAAAATAAAAGCGTTAAATATGCATTTCAAATGATAATAATGGTAAACGCATCAATGATCATTGATGAGAAACACATCAACATAGCCTGGGAAAACCCAGACAACTTCCGGCAAATTTAGATTTGCTCTGAAAGTTAGTCTGGCAAAGAGCTCATTCAAGCCCATTTCCAATCCGCCGAAATCGCGGCACCAATCAGAAACGTTAGGGCGGGCTTTACACGATGACGACAGCGCTGGGATTTTGAAGCAGATTTTGTAGCCTACATTACAAAGATGGATGCCGCCGTCGAACATCACTCGTTCCAATCAGCTATCGCGTCTGTTTTAAGCGGTTTGAACGTTTCCTTTTTGTTAAAAACCGAGCAAAGAACAACACTCGGAGATGTTTCTCCGCCGCTCTGCATACGTCATCTCCTTCATCGCTCTGATTGGTTTTAGGACTATCCGTGACGTCCGTTGGTGACGCCCCTCTGGAAATGATTTGTCTATGACGCTTTGCCAGACCATAACTCAGTTACAACTGAGAATGGTCTGGTATTATTATTATTATTTTATTTCAGACACGTAAATAATGGTCCATATTACAGACAAGAAGAGACACACATAAAAGCAATACATTTATCTCCTGTTTTTTAACCAGGCTAACATCAACATGATGATTTCTCAAAATATGATTACATTTGATTAAATGATATTTAAGATCTAAATGATAAAACAGAAAAAATAAGAAATTATTTCTTGCTTCTGATTCATCAAATGAAGTTAATTTAAATGTCTAAAGTGTACATCATTTTAGCATGTTATGCACATTATATGCACATAATATTCGGTAATGGACCACAAATTGAGGCTTCTTTCCTATAATAAAAGAAACATCTGACTGCAATATATCAAAGATCTCATAACTGTTCTTGTTCCTCTTGCCTGTAGATGCGCTGGTACCCGTCTCCCTCTGAAAGTTCTCAACCGGGGTGGAAGTCACGCCAGTTCTGTTAAATCCGTGAGTATCCGTCACTTCACCTCATATGGTCGCTTGTCTCTGACTGTGAGCTAATGCTCTGCTCTTGTCTCCACAGATGCCGTTCCGTAACAGACGTTTAGTTATTTCTCCCTCCTGTTTGAATGAAGGACAACCGGGCTCAGCGTTTAATTTAATCAGGTTTATTTAATGGACAATCTAAGCATGAAGGATTATTTTCCTGGAGGAAGTCTTCTCTAAAGCACTCTGAGGACGGTGACGAACCTCACGGTACTGTCTCCATTTCAAAAGCTGCGCTTGACGAGCCAATCACGCGCAGACGTTCAACATGTCTAGCTGCTCCTGTAGATGTGTTTTTTTTGTTTGTTGGTGTATCGTCATTCTGCATGCGATAAGACAAGTTTTAGAATGCAAACCTTTTCGTCTGTTCGTTTGCGCTCGTGTTTCCAAGTCCCAGCTTAACCCTAAAGGTTTTCAGCCTCTTGTTCTTGCATTTTGTGAAAGGTGGAGACCTGAATTTGATTTTTGCAATCCAGTCTCTGTGTACTTTTGTTTCCTCTTTTAAAGAACTGATGACATATGCACTGGGTGTCTTGTTTCCGTTTGTGATCCTGACGTGAACCGAGCGGATTCGTTCGAGTTCTCGTGTCCTCCTCTGCATCTTCCTCTGCCCTGAATCCACCAAACCTCTGCTATCTGTGTCTGCTTGGAGAATATTTGAAAAAAAAAAAAAGAAGAAATGTACAAGTATTTTTGTACACTAGTGTAATGAATATTTATGCATTATTTTTGTTTCGTGCAATTAAATAAGTATATATGTATGAGCAGTTTAGTGTTCTCTTGTTATTTTTGGTGTTTTCGTTGGTTGTTAATTCTGTCTATAACCTGTTTGAAGTAAGTGCAATTGATTTCTTTTTTTGCTCTGTGTTACATACTGAAGTTTCCTGTGGCAGTACTGCGAGTTTAAACGGACTGCCAACAGGAGATTGCTGTATAATATAAAAAAAAAATTAAAATTAAAAATACTGATTTTTTCTTTATTTCAGAATGTGAAACTGGAGAATAAAAGGAAATCTGAGAATCGATGTTTCGTGTGGGTTCTTCAAATCCAGCTTTGAGTTTCCATTTAATAGCTTTTCCTTGTATATCCTTCTGTAAACTCATGCTATCTGCAGCAGTAATATGAGGGGTATAGGTTATTTTAGTGTACATATCTGCTCTCTCGTTCCATGTTTTACCTTTTAAGGCATCAGATCCTCACCAGCTGGAGAACAGCTCTTCATCTAATGGCAACAACTGCAGCTCTGGCCCGTGAGAAGCTGCTGTTTATTTGAACCGCGCTAGTGTTTTCAAACTACGTCTGAAAGTCTGGCTATGAAAGACTATCGGTGGGTGATTTCAATTTATTCGAATGGTGCTTCTTTCAGAATACATACAAATCAGCTTTACGAAAAAGTGAGCAAGTGGAGACTAATTATGAGGGAAAACCCATAGACAAGGACTCCTTAAAGGAGTAGTTCACTTTTAAAAAAACTTTTGCTAATAATTTACTCACCCCCATGTCATCCAAGTTGTCCATGTCTTTCTTTCATCAGTCGAAAAGAAATTAAGGTTTTTGATGAAAACATTCCAGGATTTTTCTCCATATGCACTTTACTGGGCACCAAGCGGTCCAAGGTCCAAAAGACAGTTTCAGTGCAACCTGCAAACTGTTCAAAGGGCTTTAAACGATTCCAGACGATGAATAAGGGTCTTATCAAGCGAAACGATCGCTCATTTAAAAAATAAATAACAACGTTTAAGTTTTATAAGCTCACATGCCCGCCTTGCTCTGTTCTGTGTGACTCTCCTGTTCGAACTCGTTCATCAAAATGAACAAATCTTTTTTTCGAGTCATTTGATTCATTTAACGACCGAAATGAACGAATTGACTCGAAAAAAGATTTTTTCATTTTGATGAACGAGTTCGAACAGGAGGTACACAGAACAGAGAAAGGCGAGCATGTGAGCTTATAAAACTTAAACGTTGTTTTTTTTTTTTTTTTAATGAGCGATCGTTTCGCTTGATAAGACCCTTATTCATCGTCTGGTGTCATTTAAAACCATTTGAACAGTTTGCAGTTTGCACTGAAACTGTCTTTTGGACCTTGAACCGTTTGGCTACCATTGAAGTCAATTATATGGAGAAAAATCCTGGAATGTTTTCATCAAAAACCTTAATTTCTTTTCGACTGAAGAAAGAAAGACATGGACATCTTGGATGACATGGGGGTGAGTAAATTATCAGCAAAAGTTTTTTTTTAAAGTGAACTAATCCTTTAAGGGGAAACCCTCCTCATCTGGCACATATTTAACACTTGTAGAGCTTCTGTAGCTCCGCCTCTTTTCAGCGCTCCGCTCATTGTGTTCGGTCTTCCGGTTTGTATTTCCACAGCATGAAGGTAAGATCTTTTCCAGAAAAAAAAAAAAATCCTGGTAATTGACATTTTGTTGTGATCTCCGATTCAAACATTACAATGCTCATGATAATTTTCATTAACTCTACAATAAGTAAATCCACTTTACCAGCTAAAAGTGATGCCATAGAAATATACAGAGCTAACGCAAAAAAACTAAAGTTCAAACACAAGATTATAAAGACTGTTTCTCTGACGCATAATGTCTATGCACTCAAAAAATAGTAACCTTACATTAACATCTAAATTACCTGGATTTATTTAAGTAAGAAATATTTATTATTGCTGAGTAACCAAAATACTTTAAATTATACCAACAAAATACAATTTTATGGGTTAAATAAAGTGAAAAACAACTCTTTAAAGGGATAGTTCAAATAAAAATTGTCATTTACTCGCCCTTGCAGTTTGTTCCAAACATGTGCAAGTTAATTTCTTTCTGCTGAAGATAAGATATTTTGAAGAATTTGGGTAAACAAACCATTGTTGGTCCATATTTACTTCCATAGAATTCATACTAAGTCAATGGGTTTCACAAACTTTGTTTGTGATTGACAGTTTGCTTACGGATGTTTTCATGTTTGGGTGCACTTTTTACAGTGCGTGTCTGTTAGCTTTGTAGGCTTGTGTTCTCCTGAAAAGTTGACACATGGTTTTAAAAAGGTCATTAAAGTGTAAGTTTTATTCAGCAAGGACAGTCTCTTTAAAAAAAAAAAAAAAAAGCAGCTGCACAACTTTTTCCAATGTTAATAAATGTTCTAATGTTTTTTAATAAATACAAAGAGAAAAGTAATTTTAAAGTGTAATATTTCATCATTTAAGTTTACGGTTTTTTTTAACAAATAAATGCATCATTGGTTAACAGAAGAGATGTCTTTCAAAAACATTGTATTAAACAATCTTAGCCAGCATAAAACAAGTTGCGAACTGCAAAGATAGAAGATAGTTCCTTCTCAATTGTGACATCCGAGTGAATCGGCTTCTCCAACAAGAACAAATGTAGGGCGGGACTTTATTTTGTTAATCTGTAATTAATTGGTTGTGGTTTGCTATTGGTCGATCTCATGTGAGTGACAGTTTGCCCCGCCCTCATCATGACAGAAGACAATAGATTGCAAGAGGGAGGGGAAGTTTTAAGATTTGATTAAAGATTATGAGGGCATATGAATAAAAAAAAGATTGAATGATGTGCGCAGATAAATCATTTATAATAAAAACTAGCCTAAATATTCTATAAATGTAAGAACTGTCCATTTTGATTTCGTAGAGATTTTAAGCGGATTGTATTGTGGAATTTCCTGAATCCAAGAAAAGATCTCGTGTTCCCTCTCACTATATCTGACAGAAGAAAGAAAATCTTTAGAATTAATCTGTTTTGCTTCTTTCAGTTCTCATTAGAGCATCAAAGTAGGCATATATTAAAACGTGGAATAAATAGCAGATAAGACTCGCTTTACAATATTTTATTTGACGAATGAACAGAAAAAAGTTTTGTGTTGATTCAGACAGGCTGATGTCATCTTTTGGCAACTTTTTGACATTTTTGTTTTCTTCCAACTTCCAACAGGACAGACTCTCCCTGCGATTATTTTCTATTGGTCTGTTTCTATGACGTTTCTTTGTAGAATGATGTCATGTTGCTATTTTCAGTCTTTGTCTCTTCATCACACGTTGGTCAAATTTGTAGACAACAGTACAAATATTGTGTGTGTATATAAATATAATTCATGCATGCACTAAATATCTGCTAGCAGGAGCAGTGATGGAGCGCTGCCGCCATCTGGTGGTTAGAAAACAAACCTGAAAACATCAGTCAAATCACACCGACACTAAACATTATTGTTGGTTAAACTTAAAAAAATAAGTTATCTGGTTGCCTTAAAATTTAGTATTTTATAATATGTTGTTTCAATGTCAGTCAACATTAAATCTTTCTCAAAATGCAGGTGTTATTCTGTTTTGGTGTATGTGTTTGGGTACATTGTACAGAAAAATGAAGAGAAATGACATTTGGACATACAAATAAGATTAAATAAAGTATTTTAATTATTTAGTTCAAAAGTGATTCCTCAATAAATCTTTCTCACAAAAAATTCAGATGCTATAGCTGGATGAAATATTTTTCTGTCGTTTGTAAATCAAATCAAATAAATGCTTTCATCGCAACTGGGGGGGCAGATTTGAGCAGGGACGAACGTAGAGGTGCTCGCGCACGCATGCGCGCGCCCCCGGCCCTGTCCGCTTCAGCACCGCGTAACGGGTCACGTGACTCAGTCTCGCTCTCCGCCGCTCCGCATCATCAGCAGCAGAGATGTCCGCGAGCTCCGCGTTCAGCGATGAGAAAGGAGGCTCCTCCGGCGAGCCCGAGTACGGACACGACCCGGCCAGCGGCGGCATCTTCTCCTCCGACTACAAGAGGTGAGACACACCGAGTCTGTGCGCGGGGGGAACGCTCGCCACCGGGAGCGGCCCACCGGAGCGTTTAACGTACAGAAAATCTCAGACAGGGCGAGGTGCGCATGCGCGGATGAACGAATGAATCCTGTGGAAAAACAAAGAGATGATAAACACGATGAAGTGTGAGATGAATTCGCGTGAACGGAGTGTGTATGTGTGTATTATTCGTGGGTTTGTGTTTCAGCACCGGTCTGTGGACAGCGCTCAGGTCCCAAATGATGACTTCTGTGCTGCTTCACACTTCAGTGTGCCTGTATTAGTCGTTTATTTGTTGAACTGATTGTTTTTTCTATTTAATATTTGTATGGCTATGATTTCTCGTTGTTTTTACAGTTTAAATATATCCCTGTGATCCTCATTTTCTCGCTATCCTTCAGGTTTAGCCTTGCTAGCATCGCTCTCTAGCACAGCTACCTCTTCATCTACTTCTGTTTCTGTTGGGATTTCACACGTTTACCCTTGGTTAGCATTTCCGTAAACACAGAACGTTTT